ACGAGTAAGCGTATGAGGTGCTACAACTTCTGGACGCGATCTGAGGTCATTCTGTTCATCTCGGGTGTGAATTTCAATTAAATCCGAGAGCTTTCGCACTGTGAAAGCTCTCGGATTCAATTGGTCTTATTTCCTATCGGTATTTTCGTATTGAGTCTTCACATTGTGAAGACAATGTGAAGCTCACAATGCCCAGCTAGGACCGGTCAACAGTGTCGTGATAAGTTCCGTTCTCTACTGTCTTCCGGTAAGTAGGAAGTTTCGCTTTTGTGTTCTATACTGTGTTGCTTTTTAGGAGAGGTTGAGTCTTGGAGGACCCTATTCTGTTTAAGTGTCTTGTTGACAACTCGCTCTCACTCAAGCCCGCCCCCGATAGTCGTGTCGATCGCTCTACTACTCCAACGTCGGGTTCTGTTAATTCATAATCTCGGAAAAGGGTCTCTTTCAGGTCTGATCCTCCATTGGCGAGGCACCTCACGTTCTGGTATATTTAATATACTATATTATACTGATCTGATCAGTCTGATCAGCTCCAGCGGGGATGCGACATAGTACAAACAACGCTGCCGAGGCCCTGCACGGTGCCTTGAAGTGTTTCATGGGTCATCGCCGTTCACATGAACGATTCTTCATTCATCCACTGAGAAAGCACAACGAGCGGATGCGCATCAAGCTCCGAATGGAGGATGGTGAGCCTTAAATAAGGCGGTGGCCTTCCAAGGCTGAGGAAAGGCGAGTGAGTTAATCTCATTAGTTGGTGTTGTTTTTTTGATGGTAGTGTTGACTCGGAATTCAGCATCCTTGTGTTAATCACATGTCAATAGTCCCCGGAGACAAGGTGTTCGTTTGGTCGAACTTCTCTCTAGACCGCCAAGTTCGTCAGGAGTATTCGGTCGTCAGTGAGGACGACTGGTATGCCGGAGAAGACGACCTTTACCTGTATCGTTTTCGAGGAGACCGTGATGGTGAGGAGTTGGTAGTTGAAGGTGAAGAAGACCTCTGTCCGTTAATCGGCAGAAAGCGAGCCTTGCGGGGCTATGCTGAGTGCTGGAGCAGTTTCCGAGATAACATAAGAACTGAGAAGTGTAAAAAACACGTTTTAAAGGGGAACAAGAACTGGGTTATTCTCTAGGTTTCGTTTAGCTGTTCACTACGTTCACGGTGTCTTATGGCAATTGTTGCGCTGTTACCAGTAAGGTCGTTTCGGGACGCAACGACTAGTAATGGGGTAACCAGGTAACGGTAACTAGTAACCAGTAACTGGTTGGGGACAACACCTTGGTCACTAGATACACCCCATGGAACTTGCGCTTCTGGAACTTAGAGCCATGTACTGCGGCCGAAGAGTTTCTCTTAAAGGCAACTTTGTCGCCCACCTGAACTCAAGTCACCAGAACTAGGATACTATCCTATTAGGACAACCTACCTGAAACACCTCTTCAGGCTTCATATCCTCTCTACGTTCCAGCGCTCGCTTCCCTGCCACCTGCTTGATGTGTTGTGACCCAATTTGTTGATCCTCCTTCAAGTGCTGCCGCAGTCTCTCCACATAAGCCTGAGCTGCTTCTTGGTCGGAGCTTGGTCGGAGCCTTATTCAGCCTTGAATTATTGAGCTCGAG